GGGAAATGACAGACACAGGTTCAAGAGGTTCAGGAGTCTATGGAATGGATCCTGTGCAAGCCAGAGACACCACTTGCCGCAGATCTCTGGCTGACTCTCCTACCTGCCCTCCAAGTTTGGTGAGGATTGGATTTACGGGGTCCGAGTTACAGCCCCCCACGAAGGAGCCCCATCCTCATTGTTTCTAGTGGACTCTGGTCAAACCAGAGGATCTCTCAGAAACTGAAGTTGGGGAACATTTCTGCAAGCCCAGCAGAACTTGTGTAATGTGCCCAGCATAACAAGTGCCACTGAGGCACTACAAACCCAACAGGACGAAGGTCAAGCCAGGAAAGTGCTTTTGGGGGATATGTCAGGAACAGGTTCAAAAGTGTATAGAAATGGACCCCCAGTAAGCGACAAATGCCAAATGCACAGGGAGCCTCACCTTACCGCCCGCGTCTCTACAATCTCTCCATGTTGAGGTCAGATCACATTTCTGGGGTCTCAGTTATGGACCCCCCCAAAGGTCACTCCAGTACTTTCTCTGGAAAAGACAGCTGCAGTTACAGGAGTCTGTGGACTGGTTCATGAACAAGCCAGTGGCACCAAACTTACAGGTAAGTGTGAGCAGAGAGATGGGTGGCTCAGAGCCCTGAGTCCACAAAGACTCTCAAACCCCAGGAGTGGAGAAGAATCACAAACAAAAAGTGAGTCTTCAGCCAAGGGACCCAATAGCTAAACCCCTCTGCTTGGCGTGAGCAGAAAGATCCCTGAGTTCCCCGGGACCCCTACATCCCAGCAGGGGAGAGGAATGACAATAAAAATGTGGTTTCTTGGTCATGGAACCCACTAGCTAAGCCCCTCTGCTCTGCGTGAGTAGAGAAATGGGTGGCTCAGAGCCCTGAGTCCACCTAACACCAAAACCCTAGCAGGGGAGAGGAGTTCCCAATCACAAGGGAATGTGCTCTGCTAGTTCACTTTTAAGAACAGCTGAGAGAAAACAGGCTGCAGAGTTGAGAGCATATGTATAGCTTTCTGATCCTATAGAGCAGAATAGGTGCCTGTTAAGCTTTGGAGGGCTCCTAATGGTATTACCAAGGCTGAAGAATTCTGCCCTCCATTGCCTTGGAGTTTTGTAAACAGTTTAATTGAGCATAGACGGTCTGTCTGGAAAATGTAATCATTCACAAATCACCACAAATAGCACCAAAGTTTGTGAAATGTTCATGCAGGCCACCCTTCCATGAACATCGCTTCACGAACCATGAACTGGCCAAAATTCATGATGAACTTTACTTTGTGAGCTGGTTTATGCCTATCCCTAGATATACCTTATATTATTTCAAAGGGCCTGATGAAAATGCCAAGACATCAGTATTATGAGAAGCTTAAGACCTCTGGTCAATGAAGCTAATAAATGAAAGGAAAGGATCAGTATTATATGAGATGCAAATGTATGTTGAAATTGCCCCAGAAAATGATCTGAAGATGCCTAACATAACTCAGGCAAAGTAGCCTCTGATCCTCCATGCTGTGAAAGTTTCTTGGAGGAAACCTAGTAAACAAATAGACTGAGATTTCTGGGATGCATTTTTGAATCTAGAAGGTTTTGGTAACTGTTGTTTGGAAAATGGAGATTCTATGCTCTTCCCTGTTTAAAAAATGCTTACTGAATACATGGATTGACTCAAAAGAATTTCTAAAGGAGTCTTGAGAATTGTAAAGATGGTGTCAGTTGAAAAACCTTTGTCCTTTTACAAAATTACAGTTCTCATGGCTTCTTCAGAAAGCCAAAACGAGGCCAACTTATGTTTACAGGGTAGGCATGTCCATCATACAGCTTTCTCTGTGGGATGCCTGGATAGGACATTCTATAGTTAAGAGGGAACATTGCTTACGTACAATTGGGCTTTCTTATTACACTTGTATTACACCCTTGGTCCAGGGAACCATAGCTAGTTGTTTAGGATTGTACAGCCTATGCCTCTTTACTTGGATCTGGTTGAATCCAAAGGGGGTTATTTTTCAGGTAAATGTGCTTAGGAATACTGCCTAAGTTAAATATTGAGGCGTTTAAATGTATTAAAAAGTTGCATTGCTTTCAGCCATTTTTTTTCCCTTGCAGATTATGTGGTGTTGTCAAACATGTAATTAATCCATCAGAATGCTCTTCCCCAGAGAGGTGTATTTTAGCTTATCTCTATGACCTCTATGTGTCCTGTAGCCATCTCAGGAGCAAATTTGGAGATCTTTTCAGGTTGGTTCTACTAGTCTTTTCTTTTTTTAAATTGAATAGCTGCTAACACAACAGGGAATCTGATATGTATAATTGCCCTAACGCGTCGACCATTTCCAGCTCTCCCATTGGCTGTGCTGTGCATTCCATCAGCCATTGGCCTATCAACCACCAATCAAGTGTATGCTGTTGGCTGGATGCTGGGTCCTCTCCTCTTCCCCACCCATTGCCACCTCAGCCACTGTTCCCTGTCAGAAACTGCCAAAATGACTGTCTCTCCTGATGAAGACACTTTTCCTGCTTGGCTCCTGTGGGACTAACTTTTCCCTCAGTGGCTGTTGCTAGACAATCAAGCTTGGTTCTGTCAGTAAAAAGGCAAAGCCAGGAGGTCTTTCCAGGCCTTTGTGGGGAACTGATTGGGGCCAGTCCTGACTAGGGTTGCCAGCTCCAGGTTGGGAAATTCCTGGAGATTTTGTGGTGGAATCTACAGAAGCCAGGGTTTGGGGAGGGGAGGCCTCAGCTGAATAGCATGCCATAGAGTCCACCCTCCAAAGCAGTTATTTTCTTCTGGGGAACTATTGCTGCCATTCTCCAGGTGAGATCTGGAGATCACTCAGAATTACAACTGCTCTCTAGATGGCAGAGCTCAGTTTCTTGGAGAAAATGGCTGGTTTGCAGGGTGGACTCTAGGGTTGCGGTGCTCATCTCCGTTTCAAAGCCGAAGAGCCAGCAATGTCCAAAACCGTTTCCGTGGTCATGTGGCCGGCATGACTAAACACCAAGGCGCACGGAACGCTGTTACCTTCCCACTGAAGTGGTACCTGTTTATCTACTTGCAATTTCTTGCTTTTGAACTGCTAGGTTGGCAGGAGCTGGAACTAGAGACGGGAACTCACTCCGTCATGCAGCACACTCGGGTCTCGAACTGCTGAACTACCGACCTTCCACAGCCCGCAGTTCAGCATCTTAACCACTTGAGCCACCACAGCTCCTTAGTTCAGCATCTTACTGGCATAATAATATTTGTTCCTCTGATGTGGGGGAATGATACCCATACTGTAAATGGCAAAGGAGCCAGAAGTGGTGATAAGGAGGGGGTAAATAAGATGTCTGCTGTCCTACAAGTCCTTGGACTCTCCCTCTTGTTAATAACGTTGGCCATAGTTAAAGGGGCCACATTGAGTGTATTGATATCATGCTGGTATTCCATCAGTTCTCAGTGTTACCCTATCTGTGGATACTTAAATCCAGAGATTGTAGCCATGAACAAGCAAGTCAGATCTTTCTACAAGCCCCAGAAAAGCCCCAGGTTTGCAGAAAAATCTTAAATCTTAAAAAAAAAAACATAAGGAGGGTGTAACCCCCCAAAATAATAGTAGCATCCTTACCTTTAAGAAATGGAAGTTCTCTCAGATCTCATTGGCCATTGTAGGCATTGCTAAGCAACCAAAATGATATTGCCAGTCTTCAAACCTTGGTGTCTGTCAATAGGCTAGGGTTAGGGTCTGTCCCAAAGCTATTTTGTCCTCGTAGTATGCTGCTGCTTCCATCCTTCCTGCCCTGGATGGAGGACTTATTGAGGCTGGACCTAGCGGCAACCACTGGGTAACTTGGTACCATTCAGTGTGCACAACTCACACATATGTAGTGGTGGCTACCAGACAACTTGTTATCATACAACTCACCTAGACCCAGCAGCAGCTTCCATACAACTTGTGCAACTTAGCCAGGCCTGACAGTGGCCACCATACAACTCAGCTGAGTGACTTGTTTACCACATGATTTTTGCCACTGGGGTAGATCTTTCCCAGGAGGGAAGCTGCTAGGAGTGAAGGAGGGAAAGCTGAAAGCCATTGTGATATAGTGGTTAGTTTCAGACTAGAATTTGAGAGACCCAGGTTCAAATCCTCACTCTGCTGTAGAAGCTCACTGGGTAGCCTTGGGCTGGTTACACATACTCAGCCTAACTTACCTCACAGGGTTGTTGTGAAGATAAAATGGAGAATAATGTAAACTTCTTTGGGTCCCCATTGGAGACAAAGTGGGGTATAAATTAAGCAAATAAAAAATAAAGTTGGACTGCTTGGTGAGTGGGAAGGAGAGAAGGAAGGTGAGAAAGGGGCTGCCAGGAGAAGAGAATATGAGAAGGAGGTATAGGGGCTAGAGAAATAGGAAATAGCATGGGGAACAGGATACAGGGGGAAACTAAGTGACCTCTGTAAGTCCTTGTGGGTTCCCCACTTGTAAATAAAATAATATTAGTAAACTTAAATAAATAATTAAAAACTACTTCTTTACTTTTTTCTTGCTGTATTTCCTAGGACTACAACTTTACTACATCTTAAAGAGTCTACTGATACCCTTAAGAAACAGCATATGTTGTTTAAGCATATGTATAAGGAATTTTTCTTGCTTGCTTTTAGAAGATATATTTGATACAATGTGAATTATCTTTACATTCCAGATGACAGAGCAATCCAAAGCCTTTGGATTACTGGCTTGCCTAGAGGCTGTTTCCTATGAAGCCACTTGATTTAGGCTTAACAGCTTTCTAGATCTGCTCCTTTGAATTTCCCAAAGAGAGAGTTTAAACAAACCACCATTTATCTCTGAATGAATTGTGGCAATCAATAGCTTGTCGGCTGTACCACATTGACAAGCTTTTCTAGTGTTCCATTTATTACAATTTACCCATGGAGTATAACATTGGACTGCAAAAAAAAAAAAATTAAAGTACACCAATTATTTCAAATAAAACGTTTGTATTAAATTTGAGTCTTACCTATATCTTACTTCAAGCTGTATCATGAATAGTCCGTTGCAGATGACATGTAAAAATCCTGGGACTTCCTATTTTAAGTTTTGTTGTCTTTTCTAAACTTCCTTAATTTTGAAAGTGAACTATCGCTCTTTCTGTTTTTCCCCCTTAACTGAAAGGCATCTTATGTTGTAGAACTTCAGGTTGACTGATTTGCAATCCAGCAGTGTATGTTGAGACATTTTCTAATTTAAACATGTTGGCTGACAGGATATTAGAAGTGTTTCTTAAGTTCTGGCATTCATTGAGAAAGCATGAACTCCATTTTGCTGGGTAGAGGCTAAGGAAGTTGCTTCCACTAGTTTAAAAAGCTCAATTATAAATTCTTAGTGTAGATCTTCTAACAATTATGCGACTGCTAGCTTTTCTGAAGGTACAGAAGTACTATTCAGGCTGGAGCTCTCTGAAAGGAAGTTTCTAACTTAAAGGTAAAGTCACAGGATGTAGAAAGACAATGAAGTTTTGCAACTTTTTTTGTTCCGCTTTGACTATAATTCAGATATTATGTACATTATGTGCTAGCTTCTTACCATGTTCATGAATGCAGCTTCCTTTATGCATGATGTATGATGCAGGAATCCTGTTTTACAACTCACTCCAGTTAACCATGATGTATGAGTGCATGTACACAGCTTAATAGAGTGAGCCAGGATTCAAAAGCAGAATGCGTTATTAGGGGTGTGCGAAAAACCCCAAAAAACAAACACACACAAAACACGGTATTTTGGGGGGTTTGGGTATATTGAACCGGAAAACCATTGGTATTTCCTGATATTCCCAAATTCCAATACTGGTATAGTATTCAGATTTATTAAATGGTTGGGATTGCTGAATTTTTTCAGCCCCATTATACCATATGGGTCAACTTAGGGTATCATAGAGAATTGATCCAGGGGTATCCGGGGCTCTGTGGGGGCTGTTTTTTGAAGTAGAGGCACCAAATTTGCAGCATAGCTGCTGGTGCCTCTCCTCAAACCCCCCCACCCCAAGTTTCATTTCCAACCATTTAGTGCTGGAGTTTTAGACCTCTGTGGAGCCATATGGGTCTGGAAGCTGCATTGGGGAAGGGGGTGAAAACTCTCCCTCCTGCCTCTTTTGTGAGCAGAGCAGAAGTGGTGGAACAGGAAAGGAGCTATGTTGCCCACAGGAAAACCATGTGCCCAAGCAGTCTGAACCCACTTCCTGTGAATATCTGTGGTAGATGGTAGAGTGATGTGTACAGCTGTTCTAGCTATAGTGATTTCTGTAACAGTCGAAGAACTCACCATCTTTACTTCATGCATATGAAGCAGAGGTGTACTACCTGTTCCGAATTATTAGTCAAAGCCCATTATAACCTATTAACAGATACCTTTCCTTTCTTTTCTTTTTATTCCCATAGCTGTGTAAGTGCTCTAATATTATTTTTATTATATTACATTTATTATGTAATGTGGATTTAAATTGTACTTTATGCACTGTCTAAGCAACCCTGAGCGGGGTGTAAATTCGGAAGCTGCAGCTAGTGCAGAATGCCGCGGCCAGGCTTCTGTTGGGTCTTACCAGATGGGAACACATCCAGCCTGTGCTGAAGGCATTGCACTGGCTGCCAATAGCATACCGAATTTGCTTCAAGGTGCTGGTGCTTACCTTTAAAGCCCTATATGGCCTGAATCTGACATACCTGAGGGACCACCTTTCCCCATATATACTCCAGAGAGCACTGAGGTCGGGGGCCCAGAATTGACTGGCCCTGCTGGGCCCCAAGGATGCCAGGCTCGCCACCACCAGGGCCAGAGCTTTTTCAGTGGCGGCTCCATACTTGTGGAATGAGCTCCCGGAGGAGATCAGGGCCCTGCAGGATCTTGTGCAGTTCCGCAGGGCCTGCAAGATGGAGCTCTTCCACCAGGCTTTCAACTAGGAGCCACCCCCACTACTATCAATGAGCCGGCCCGTAGTTTCAGCATCTGGCCTCTACCACTGCGCTCAGGAAGACCACTGACTGGTAAACTGTCTGGCAGTATGGTATTTTCAGCATGCCATCGTACGTACTGAATGTTTCAGCACTAGCACTTTATGAGACTCTTGTTTTATTGTAATTGAATTTTAAACTGTTTTTATGTGAATGAATGGTCATTTACAGACCAAATATGTAAGCCCCTCTGAGCCCACTTGCGGGGAGGGCAGGGTATAAATAAATAAATAAATAAATAAAAATTAATTGCCTAATCCCCACAATTGTGGGGCTGTAGGTGATGAACAAAATTTTAAAACCATAAAAACCATATCCAGCATATAATACAATAATTAAAAGCCAGTGGTGAAAATTTTTGCAGCTCCCTCCCATATCTGGTCTGTGAGTACTTTGGACGCACGTGGAGGGGGTAAATTTCACAATGAATAGGGATCCAGGTTGGGTGCTAGCCATGATGTTGACCGTCATTGTCCTCAGCCAAACGCCTGGCCCTGTGAAACTGCATAAGATCACTCAGGGCCCTGATGTTATTTGGCAGAGAGTTCCAGCAGGTTGGGGCCAGGGCCAAAAAGGTCCTGGTTGAGGACAGCTGGATATCTCTAGGGCTGGGGACCACCAGCAAGTTGTTCTGTGAAGAGCGTAATGCTCGGCTGGGGGTGTAAATGAGGAGGTGGTTCCAGCAGGTTGGGGCCAGGGCCAAAAAGGTCCTGGTTGAGGACAGCTGGATATCTCTAGGGCTGGGGACCACCAGCAAGTTGTTCTGTGAAGAGCGTAATGCTCGCCTGGGGGTGTAAATGAGGAGGTGGTCCCATAGATACACCAGTACCAGACCGCTCAAGGCCTTAAAGGTCAGAACCTAGAACTTGACCCAGTGCTCCACTGGAAGTCAGTACAGCTGATGCAGCACAGGTTGAATATGTGCAGTCTGTGATGTTCCTGTTAAGACACATGCCACCGCATTCTGAATTAGTTGGAGCTTCCAGGTCAGTCTTGAGGGCAGGCCAGCATAGAGTGAGTTACAGTAGTCTAGCCTGGAGGTGACCATCACATGGCTTACTGTGGCTCTGTCAGAGCGTGACAGGAAAGGGGCCAGCTGCCAATATATTGTTAAGATTGTGTTGAGTACCAATTGGCCTTCACTTTCAGTGGTTAGTGTGTCAGACTTAGGGACTTGGAGACCCAGGTTTGAATCCCTGCTTTACCTTGGACGTTTGCTGGCTAACCATGACCCAGTCATACTCTCTCAGCCTAAGCTACCACATGGCAGTTGCTGTGAAGTTAAAAGGAAGGCAGGGAGAACCAGGACTGTAGCCAGCAGTGGGGAACAAAGGGCTGTGCCCCCTAGTGAATTTGCTGCTCTCCCCTCCTGCGCTCCCCCTTTAATTATGAGTCAGCAAGGAGGGGAGGGCTCCTGCAGAGTGAGTCTCCGAGGTGCCAGTGGTGACATGCCCTTCCCTCCTGCTGGCGCTTTAGTCCCCTTGCCACTGCAGCTGCATTGCTCATCCTCTGGCCGAGGGGCTTTCCTTGTTCCCTGAAAGTTGCCTGCTGGACAGACGATGGGTCGGAGTTTACTCCTAATACTACCTCTTTATTCTTCCTCCCTAAGCGAAAAGGCTACTCTGCAGAAATCAGATCTGCCCAGGGCCCTGCATATTTTACTTGTGAGTAAGTCTCTGGAAGTTCTCCCACGCTCTCTTCTAGCCACATCTCATTGCCCAAAAAGGGCCTGCCTGGGGTGGGCGTGAATCGGGGCTGTGCGAGAAGGTGGAGCGGTACAAACAGGGCAGCAAAACAGGAAAGGGCAGCTCAGGCTTTGTGCTGCTTTGGAGAAATTGCCCACAGGAACCCTCCTTTCAACAGTGCTTGGACTGGCATGAAAGTGATTTAATTCTACTTCAATTAATTGGTGCCCCCCCCCCAAATTCCTGGCTACGGGGCTGGAGAGAAATATATTGTAAGTGGCTTTGGGTACTCATTGCATAGGTCAAAATAAATAAATAGTAATGGGGTGGTGGCAATTGCTATGTCATTTCCAGGACTGGACCCTGTCTACTGCTTGGGGTTACCAACTTCCAGGTGGGGCCTGGAGTTCTCCTGTAATTTCAGATGATCTCCAGACTACAGAGATCACTCCCCCTGGAGGCAAAGGTAGCTTCAAAGGGCAAACTCTGTGCCATCATATCCCCTCTGAATCCCTTCCCATCCACAGACTCTGCCCTTTCCAGCCATCGCCCCAAATTTCCAGGACTTTCCCAAGGTGGAGTTGGCTACGCTACTAGAGTTGGACCTGGAATAAGACAGATGCTTGATATTCCAAAAAATGAAGCTTAGGATCACAGCACCTGGGGCTGCCAACTTCATGTTGGGAAAATCCAGAAGATTTGGGGGGGGGGGTGGAGCCTAAGAAGTGTGGGATTTATGGAAGGACGGGATCTTAGCAGGGTATAAAGCCATAGACTCTACCCTCTAAAACAGTCAAGGGAACTCATCTCTGTTGTCTTGAGATCCATTGTAATTCTGGGAGATTTACAGGCCCCGCCCAGAGGTTGACAACCCTAAAAGCAACTCTTTGTTTGCCTGCTTCAATTCACAAAATAGATTATGGAACATAAAGAGACTTTGTATGTGTTTATGAAACATGAGGTTATCATCTCCACAAGCTGGATGCACTCTGAATTATCCAGCTGCATTCAGGCTTTTGAATAAACACTTTATGGAGCATTTGTTGATTTGCCAGCTGTTGAGCATTAAGAGGAGTCTTTAATCAAATTGTGTGTAGGCCCTGTTTTCTCTAATGTGTACATTTTGTCCAAGAACTCTTGGAAAGCTTTCACAAAATGCACGTGAAGTGAACCTGCTTCTATACACTTTTGTGTTTCTTCTAGTGGTGATATTCTTAGAACTTTGCAGTATTTTGATATCAAACAGAATATTTTCTTGAAAAGCAGCATTTTGTGAGTTGCAGTTATTGCTTTTGTAATATGACTTGTATTGACTTTAGTGTAATATTGTGATGTGTAGGCTTCCCAAG